TTGTTTTTCATTGCATAATCTCTTGTGTCCTTTGAAATATATGCTTATATATGTTACTACTTAAGATACAGCCTTAATGGATTGGCTGGAGGGTATTTAACATAAACCAAATCAAATCACATGATTTTGAGACATGATCATCTACTGTCAGTATAATCAACTGTTCTGAAAAAGACTTTCATAAATATTTGTTACAGGTGATATTTACAGTGTTAGAACTGTCAAAACTCATCCAACTAAATATTTAAGATCTATGCATTTTATTGCACATTAATTTTACATCAATTAAAAATACATAAGATAAAATTCTTTAGTTTAAATAAGGTGGTAACGGTTCTCAAGCTTTTATCATATTAGAAATAGAAAATAAAATATTAGCATATTTTAGCATATTAGAAAACCCTAGAAGAACTTCAGAAAAAACAATTACCTCCTTCTAATTCCTTACTCCAAATATGGTCCACAGAACAGGACAATCAGCATCATCAAGGAGCATGTTAGAAATTCTGATCTCAAGCCCCATCCCAGATCTACAGAGTCAGAAAATGTACTTTAACAAGATCCCCAAATGATTTCTGTGCATATTAAAACTTGAGAAGCTCTGATAACCCATTTACCAGAAGAGTTATGGTAGAAATCCAAGAAGCTCTACTTTTAAAAAGCTCCAAAGATATATAACAAAGGTAGAGAGAGAATCACAATATAAGTACTGTGCTTTGAGGGGGAAGAGATGGAAAGTTCCTTCTTCGAGACTATTAGTTTGCATAGCAAAAAATCCTAATAAACAGCAGTTACTCACCATCTTTAGTAGTGTTTCATTATGTAACTGCTTCTCTTCTACCTGTCTCTGTAGGTTCATTTTAGCCACCCTGACACTCATAGTTGTACGATCTACTAGGCAGAACATGCATATGCATATTATACATATCTACTCCATCCCAGATCTCCTCAGATTATCTGATTCCATCTGAAGAAAGACGATAGATAGAAAACTCTAATCCAGATCTTGCAAGTGGGGAATTACAGAGATTTTAAAATCTCATTAGATGCCAGGCGTCCAAAAAACAGAGGATCTCACTGACAAGCTATGTTTAAGCACAATTTTAACAAAGTATGAGGTTAAATATGAAAAAGGTTCCAAACAGTTAATGTAAATATTACCTTATCCCCAGAGATGCAACAGAGGGAAAAAGGGTTATGTAATAACAGATTTCAATTTGTGTGGTTTGTTCAAAGTGAAAGTTTGTTAAAAGATTCCTCACTGATAAAATAGCAAGTAGTGGGATTCACTTTCAAATCAAATAATTCAGTAACAGAGGTATGTGAGGACTTGTGAGATATTACAATCAAGGGGTTAATGCCAAACACCTGAAATAGATTATGAATCACCTATACTTTTGTAGGCTGTCTATCTAGGTATTACTTATAATGACAGGAGAAATTCTGAAATCTCCCTAAGCTAAGAAGCTAAGAACCTCAAAAAATATCCTGATAAGTGAATGTAAAAGTGGCCCAAATTGGGTAAACCTGGGGAAATGAGGGTAAAAGAAGACATACCATAGGATCTAAAACATAAGGAGGCTAAATGTGCTGTGGCAATAGAGTGGATCATCTCCACTAAAGGATATTCAGGTATAAGAGGGATGATTCAAATGATCTCTAGCAACACAATAGTCTGAGATGCAACCTGATGTCTTCTGGCTCCAGGATTTTAGACTGTGGTTCTCCACCATATTTGACTATACATGGGGAGCTTTTTCAAAAAGCATCTACATTTCCAACCCTATCAAAATTCTTATATGTGCAGTGATGAGATGGCAATAATGTAGCAAAAAACATGAATTTGCCCTCTCACTGAAGTGATTCAGATACAAACTACTTCCATATGTATGCTCTTAAACATCAAATAGCCACTTTGTGGGCACATTGAATTAAACCAAATTTTGGCCTAGAGAGATTAAGTTTATTTTATATTGCAATACTGCCACAAGTTAATGATTTCTTTAGGATTCAAGGGCTGAAGAATCTAACTTATAGAAACCCTAAAAAAATTATATGTTATATTACAAGATATCTGAACATACTGCACTTGATGTAACAGAGAGAAAAAGCAGCTTTGGCATTATACCAATATTTACATTTCTATATTATTCTAAGCTTGAATTGTTGGCCTCATTTATGTGGGCTTTTTGGGTTATTATTCATTTTTTTAAATCACGAAATATTTCAAGCATGTGGAAAAATATAAAGAATAATTACTGGACAGCTGTGTAACTACCATCTGGCTTTCTCAAGCCTTTACATTATTCCTATCCATTTGGCATTTAATCTCTAAAAATAAAATGTGCAAAAGTTGAAAACAGAGAAAATGAGGGGAAAATCCCCTTAAAACTTTTTCATTTTCAAAAGTCACTATAACTTTTAGACACAAATTTATAAAATAATTATATATGATTATTTACTAGCTTTCTGACATCTTGGGGGTTTTTGGTTTTTCTTGCCAATATATGAAAACCAAAGTGCTCTTTTAAAAAGAGAGTACAGTAACATTATTAAGTACAATAATTTATTTTTAACATTTAAGATTATTTAACATTATTAACTTTTCTATTTTATAACACTTCTAACAACTGTCTTTACTTGTCTAGTCATATCAGAATACAGTAATATCCTTTTAGATTTAGTTTTCTTTCTTTAGGTCATCTGTCTTTGCTGTAATAATCTCAATATTCTTTAGTGTCAGATTTTTCATGTTTTTGAACAATGGGAAAATGAAAACAGAAATCTAGTCATATTTACAAGTCAAACATGTATGGACGTCTATAGAGTACTACAAAAAACTAATTCCATACTAGGTAATTTTATGTTTATACTGCTAGGCTGAACATCTGACTGGTAGCTCATTTTTCAAGATCAAATAAATCAACTCTGAATAATAATAAGAGCAGATACAAATATTAATAAATGACAACAAAATTCCCCTACCCTGCTATTTCAGTCAAATTTTTCAACGTTATATTCTTAAAAGAGCCTCTCCTTTAAAGAACTGCTGTTTAGGTGGAAAAGAAAAATAATATTAAATCATTCATTCAGTAAACTTTTACCAAGCACTTACTATGAAGTGCTGGGCTTAGGCACTGTGTTAGGTGGTCAGGTTAAAATGCAGTCTCTGACTGACAGGGACTCAGCGGCTATTTCAGAGGTTACTTCTAGGTTTATGACTCCACCCACCATCTATAGAAAATATTTCCTTTGAGTCTCCTACATGCCAATCACTATATTAGGTAATGGAGATAAACTAATAAAATATAGTTACTGCTCTCATGAAGCTTCCACCTCGATGAGGGGAGACAAACAAGCAAATAAAAGCTTTTGTCAAGTGGTTAAAAAAACAAACAAACAAACAAACCAAGTGCTACTAAGAAAAATAAGAGTAAAAGAACAAAAGGGCAGTAATTCTACATAGTGTAATGATATTCATATCCATGTTGAAAATACATCTAAGGAGCAAACCTTTTATTTATGTTCTCAATTAACTGATGTCTTTTAAAGGCACCAATCACCTTCATATCACCAAATTAAACAGGATTTTCTCATTCTTCATTTTCCTTCTATTCTTCCAGGCATCTGACACTGCTCACCACCTCCAGTTTGAAACTCTAGTGGCTTACATAACAAATCTCCTATCCAGATTCTTATCTGGATTCTTACCTGGGGTGGCATCAATATGAACTATACAGTGACAACAAGGATTTAATTAAGATGATCACTTATCCAGCCATGGCAAATAGGTTTTAACTGATGTGAAACTGGAAAGCACCCTGAGAAAAGATTTAACTTTATTCTTATTTTCCAATAGGTTTTAGAAGACTATATAACAATATGACCTTGACTCAAAGCACTGGAGAGTAACAACATCAAAAACACCTGTATACACTGAGTAATGTATAGAATTGTTGAATCACTAAATTGTATACCTAAAACTAACATAACACTGTATGTTAATTATACTGGAGGAAAAAAACACACTTGTACTGCATGTTACATGTTATACAACCCTGTCAAATTTTATTTACTTCATTTAATCCGCTAAAGTGATAATATACTATGAGGCAGGTAATATTTACATGTTAAAACATTTTAAATTTTGCTAAACATGTGAGGATTTAAGAGAAAATGGTTTTAAATCTCAATAGGGAAGACAAAGTCTCTAAGCTTAATCCATTCAAAAATTATATTTCAGGGGCGCCTGGGTGGCTTAGTCGTTAAGCGTCTGCCTTCGGCTAAGGTCATGATCCCAGGGTCCTGGGATCGAGCCCCACATCAGGCTCCCTGCTCCGCGGGAAGCCTGCTTCTCCCTTTCCCCTCCTTCCCCCTCTGCTTGTGTTCCCTCTTTCACTGTGTCTCTGTCAAATAATAAAAATTTTTTAAAAAAAATTATATTTCATACTATAGTAAAATACAGCTAGAAGGTTCTGACCTATAAATATTCCTTAAGCAATCTATTTAATCTATTAAAAACAAGATCTTAACTTTTCAGAATGACATCATTAAAATTAAACTTATGTACTTATCCTTTACTTTTTCTTCATTATTTGAAAAATGCTTAAAAGTATAATGAAAAACAACCATCTATAATCCCAATATTCTACAATAATGTCTACTAATATTTTGGTATATTTAACATTTCCTTCAGCCCATCCCTGTTGATTTTAGTAATTTAAAATTGCTTCATACTATCAAGCATATTGATATTCTCTAAAAAAGTTTGCTTTTTATTTAAAAAATTAAAAAGTAAACAGGAATAGGGGACCAAACTGATCAATATTACTGTGAAATCAAGTCAAATAATTTTTATAATATTTTACATTCTAATTTCAGAGTAACGAGTGAAAAAAAACAAAGTGAAATACACATATTCAATAAATACTTATGCTAACTACCACATGCAAAGTGACAGGAACAAAAGATTATGTACTTAAAGAAGATTAAATTCTCACCTGTTCAATCTCTTTGGTTTTTGATGCTATTGCTTTAGAGCGACTGCTTAGTTGACTGTCTTCAAATAATTCTATGCCATCTGCTGCATTTGACTCAGGTTCCTCTGGCTGCTCAATAAACAATGGTGCTGTGGATCCTGCCTTTAAGAAAAATCAGAAATCTTTAATTACATATAGCACTTAAGATGACAGTGTATAGGCACTAATTGGCACAATATATCAAGAGAAAGTGCTAAATTCAACCAGTTTTAAGAAAACACTTTCAATTTCGCCATGCATAATGAGCATATGTGAGGAGGACCAAGGAGGAAATGACTGCTACTTTTTAAATTTTAGGTAAGACGAAGCATCTAAGCTTATACCATTCCAAAATTGTATTTCACACTATATTAAGATACAGCTAGAAGGTTTTGTCCTATAACTATTCCTTAAGCAATCTATTTAAGAAACACTGAAGAGAAAAAGCCTAATTGGAAGTGAGAGGTATGGGCACACATAAGCATATTAAAAAAAGAACATGGAAAAGGGATCTACTTTCAGAAGTTAAAAATACCTTGCTCCTGTAGCATAAAAATTTATTGAAATCATTGAAAAGAAAAATCCCCAAAGTGATAATAATCACTTCTATTTCACAGCAACCATTCATTAAATACATAATCCCACAAAAAGCTCACAGCTGACTACTGTACTTTCCAAAAACACTTTTGTGGAAAAGATAAAACTAAAAAAAAAAAAAAAAAATGAGGGAAACAATTATTTAACTACACTCATTTGTTTATTCAAAAATCTACTGTGGGGACGCCTGGGTGGCTCAGTTGGTTATGCATTTGACTTTGGATCAGTCATGATCTCAGGGTCCTGGGATGGGGCCCTGTGTCAGGCTCTCTGCTCAGTGGGGAGTCTGCTTCTCCCTCTCCCACTCCCCCTGCTTGTGTTCCCTCTCTTGCGGTGTCTCTCTCAAATAAATAAATAAAATAGTTTAAAAAAATTCACTGTGTGACATTTATAGCAGCATTATCTAATGGTAGCCAAATTATGGAAACAGCCCAAGTGCACATCGACTAATAGATAAGGAAGATGTGGTGTGTACATGCACACACACACAGGAATATTACTCAGCCATCAAAAAGAATGAAGTATTCCCATATACAACGACATGGATGGAGCTACGGTGTATTATGCTAAGTGAAATAGTCAGAGAAAGACAAATGCCATATGATTTCACTCATATGTGGAATTTAAGAAACAAAACAAATGAGCAAAGGGAAAAAAAAGAGAAACCAATAAGACTCTTAACTATAGAGAACAAACTGATGGTTACCAGAGGGGAGGTGAGTGGAGGAATAGGTTAAACAGGTAATGGAGATTAAGGAGGGCATTTGTTGTGGTGAGGACTAGGTTTTGTATCGAAGTACTGAATTACTATATTGTACACCTGAAACTAATATTACATTGTAAGTTAATTAGCTGGAATTTGAATAAAAACTAAAAAAAATGTACTGTGTAACAGAGAGAGGAAGATGGCATCATAGTAGGAGGACCCTAGGATTATCTCAACCCACAAATTCAACTAGGTAACTATCATCCTAAATACTCCAAAAATCAACATGAAGACTAGCAGAACAAACTCCACAATTAAAGGTAGAGAAGAGGCCATGCTGAAGAAAGTAGGAAGGGCAGAGACATGGTTTGGGAGAGAAAAAATGAATGGTGACTGCTGTGGTAGTGGAGAAGGGTGGGAGACAGACTAACACCCATGGGAGTGCTGGGAGAAAACGAATCCTGCAGAGCAACTGGCTTGGAAAGTGAGAGGGGATGAATTCCACTGAGTTCTTACAACTAGTGGGGCCTAAAACCTGGAATTCTAAAGGTCAGCGGGCTTAGCTCAGGGAAAGTCCAGAGGCATTGGGGCTGCTCTTGGAAGAAAAGGCAGGGCAAACAGCCCTCATACATACAGAGTAAAAACAGTGACCTGAAGAGTACCTGGGGCACACAGTGGGGAAGTTATTCCCTCATCTTGGGAGTGTGTCCCAGAGAGGCAGTGTTCACAGAGAGAACCCTCCAGGAACAAAGGAACATGCAGCCACCATTTCCTTCTTCAGCCCCTCAACATAAGCACAGAGCTAGCCACCTGTGGGAACCAGTGCAGTGCCAACACTCCCTATTTAACTTGTTTACACCAAGGCCCAATCCACCCCACCCCCCAACACACACACACTCTGGTGGAACTACCCTTCCTAGTCACCCTTGCCTCAGTTCCAGCATGGCAGGCACCCTTGCCATTAGACTGGCCCAAACCTTTGCCCACATCCTGTCTCCTGACCCATGAGTTTTGCAGACCTCATTTCTGGCTGCAGTGGTGACAGGTCTCATTTCACAAGCACACCAGAACACATCAGGTTAAAACACACCACATTCAGGCCAGGAACTAAACATTGCCCACAAGCGGCAAAGACAGCCTCTGCAGAGGACTGGCCTGAAGAATAAAGAGGCCAGGAAAAAACAGAGGAGCACACACAGCACACACTGGAGAGGCTCCTGGAAGCGCCAGGCCCTGGGGAAGAGGGGACACAACACAGCAGGGCACTGTAAGACCTCTTCTTCAAAAGGCCATTACCGTCAAGAACAGAAGACACAACTGACTTTCCTAACACACAGCCAACAGACACAGAGACATAGACAAAATGAGAAGACAGAGAAATCTGTCCCAAATAAAAGAACAGGACAAGGTCATGGCCGGATATCTAAGCAAAGCAGGTAAGTAACATGCCCGATGGATTATTTAAAGCAATGATCTTAAGAATACTCACTGGACTTCAGAAGAGAGTGGAAGACATCAGTAAGACCCTTAACACAGAGATTTAAAAAAAGAGACAATCAGAGATGAAGAGTGCAATAAGTGAGGTATGACTGATGCAATGAATAGCAGGCTGGAAGAAGCAGAGGAATGAATTAATGACGTAGAAGACAAAGTAATGGAAAGTAAGCAAGAAGAACAAAAGAGAGAAAAAAGAACTATGCACATATAAAGCATCTGACAAAGTACAACATCCATTCATGATAAAAACCCTCCACAAGGTAGGCTTACAGGGAACATACCTCAACATACTAAAGGCCATATATGAAAAACTCATAGCTAACATCATCCTTAATGGGGAAAAACTGAGAGCTTTTCCTCTAAGTTCAGCAAGAAGCCAAGGATGTCCACTCTCACCACTTTTATTCAACATAGCACTGGAAGTTCTAGCCACAGCAATCAGACAACAAAAAGAAATTAAAAGGCATCCAAATTGGTAAGGGAGAAATAAAACTTCAACTCTTTGCAAATGACATGATATTACATAAAGAAAACCTGAAAGACTTCACCAAAAAAACTGCTAGAACTGCTAAATGAATTCAGTAAAGTCACAGGATACAAAATCAATGTACAAAAATCTGTTGTATTCCCATACACCAATAATGAAGCAACAGAAAGAGAAATTAAGAAAACAATCCCATTTACAACTGCATAAAAACAGTAAGAGACCTAGGAACAAACCTAACTAAAGAGACGAAAGACCTATACTCTGAAAACTATGAAACACTGAAGAAACTGAAGATAACACAAATGGAAACACATTCCATGCTCATGGGTTGGAATAACAAATATTGTTAAAATGTCCATATTACCCAAAGCAATTTACAGATTTAATGCAATCCCTATCAAATTACCAACAGCATTTTTCACAGAATTAGAACAAACAATCCTAAAATTTGTATGGAACCACCAAAAGCCCCAAATAACCAAAGCAACCTTGAAAAAGAAAAGCAAAGCTGGAGGCATCTCAATTCCAGACTTCAAGTTATATTACAAAGCTGTAGTAATCAAAACAGTATGGTACTGGTACAAAACAGACATACCGATCAATGGAACACACTAGAAAACTCAAGAAATGAACCCACAATTCTATGATCAATTAATCTTCAACAAAGCAGGAAAGAATATCCAATGGGAAAAAGACTCTTCAACAAGTGGTGGTGGGGAAACTGGACAGTCACATGCAAAAGAATGAAACTGTATCTCTTTCTTATACACAAAAGTAATTTCAAAATGGATTAAAGACCGGGGCGCCTGGGTAGCTCAGTCCTTAAGTGTCTGCCTTCCGCTCAGGTCATGATCCGAGGGTCCTGGGATCGAGCCCCACATCGGGATCCCTGCTCAGTGGGAAGCCTGCTTCTCCCTCTCCCAAGAAGCTCAACAAAACCTAAGTAAGATGAACTCAAAGAGGCTCACACCAAAATACATTATAATCAAATTTTTAAATGACAAAGTAAAAGAGAATCTTGAAAGCAGTGAAAAGCAACCATCATATACAAGGGAAATTCACTAATATTAGCAGATTTCTCATCAGAAACTCTGGAGGCAAGATTACAGTAGGCCCATAATCAAAGTATGGTTGACCCCGAACAACATGGTGATGGGGGGGGACAACCACCCACACAATCAAAGTCCACGTATAACTTTTGACTCTCCAAAATCTGAATAGTCTTCTATTAATCAGATGTCTTAATGATAACACAATTACCACATATTCTGTATACTATATGCATTATATGCTGTATTCTTACAATATCTAACCTTTTCATTTTTTTTTTTTTTTTGGTATTTCTATGCTACACAGTTTGTGAGTCTTTTTTTTTTCTATTTAAATATTATTTATTTATTTATTTGACAGAGAGAGCACAAGTAGGCAGAGTGGCAGGTAGAGGGAAAAGGAGAAGCAGGCTCCTCGCTGAGCAGAGAGCTCAATGCGGGGCTCAATCCCAGGACCCTGGGATCATGACGTGACCCGAAAGCAGATGCTTAACTGACTGAGCCACCCAGGCGCCCCTGTGAGTCTTTTTAAATTGTTGCAAATCTCCAAAAAATTTTCCAACACACTTATTGAAAAATAATGACATATAAGTGGACCTATGCAGTTCAAATGCCAACTGTAATAAAAGCAAAATTGTCAACCGAGAATCCTATATCCACGAAAACTTTCCTTCAAAAATGAGGGAGAAATTAAGACATTCTCAGATTAACAAAAGCTGAGGGAGTTTATGACTACTAAATCTGCCCTGCAATAAATGCTCAAAGGGGTCCTGCAAGGTGAAATGAA